ACCCTTCTACAAAAAAGCAAAAGAAAAGAAACATCGATGTCCCTAACCAGTAACAACAACGACATTAACAAGTCAGCCAAAGTTGGTAAAACCCCTTTGACTTCCCTGCCTTGATGAACCCACGAATCATCAAAAATCCAAAATCCCAGAGATATTTTTCCAAAAAAAAAAGTAAAAAAAATTAAAATTCCCAAATTCCCATTTTTTGCTGCTTTCTCGCCATTTTAATCCCATCTCATGACATGCAAAGGCCATGTCGAAAAGTTTACAGCTTGAACTAGAAAAGCAGCGATGAATGCATATCTGAGCAAAGGGTGGTGGAGACAGTAGATGAAAGAAGAAGCTAACCTCTTTTCTGAAAAACAAAATGGGAGTTGGCTATAGTAGATCTCTGTGTGCTCGGTGATTTTATGAGAAAAGCATGGTTGGATAGTGTTTGAATCTGATGGAATGCTTCAAACTATGAAGTTGGTCTCCAACTGTCACCTTATAGGCTTAAACAGACGCGCACACATACACGCACAGAGACAGAGTTAAGACACACACAGAAAAAGTCGTGACCAAAAGTATAAACAAGCACTACCGGCCATGATTCAACCCTTTCATATCCTACTATAACATTTTTGTTGTAGTTGTCTTCCGTTCTAGAATTTTATGTTTTTTTTTTTATATTTTATAAAGAAAGTACTAAATAAATAATAAATAATATGTCTTATTTAAAATTATAAAATATATTAAATAGTTATTTATTTAATAATTACAGCTATTTTATGATATAGTAAAAGGTAAAAATTTAAAATAATTTTTAATGTTATTAATATATTAGTTTGTATGGTTTTTAATAAAAAATATTATGTATAAATTTTTATTATCTGTTAGACACGCATTAAAAATATATATTCTATTATTATGTGAAAATATTAAATTTTTTCTATATTGTTCATTTATCTCTTTAATTCGTGTATATTTTAAATGTCACTTTGTACTTATATTTATAAGTTTATTATTTGTAATTTTATATATAAATATAATTATTTATTTTTATTTTAGGTTTTAAAAAATTCAATTATACAAAAAATTAAGCGATAAATTACAAAATTATAAATTTCAAAAAATTATAATTTGATTATAATAAATTAACTCAATAGTCTTATTTAAATTGTCTATCTCTCTTTATAATTCGCAAATCTTATTTTTTAAACAAGAGTACTTGTAAGTGTTAAGTTTAGTTTTTTAAATTTATTTTATTTGATAATTATTTTACAAAAAAAATACTGATTACATTCAAAATTACACAGTTATTTGTGTGTGTTTGACGACCGATCAAATATTTTTTCTGTTAATTAAAAAATGTGTTGTTTTAAACATTTTAATCAAAGAGAATTTGTGTGTGTATATATATATACCAAAACCATTTCACAATAGAACAATGTCGAGGACATAGAGAGTGACGACAATATTTGAATCCCACGACAAAAGCATTATTGTCTATATTTTTTTCTCAATTTCTTCTTTAAAGAAAACAAAAACAAACTCCATTTCTTAAAAAAGGAGGTTATATCTATTAAGGTATTATGTTTTCAAAAGTTGCAAAGCATGCCAAGTAGGGTCCTTCCCCACTCACAATTTTGTTGACATAAAAATTCGTGAACTTTTGCAATCAATTGCAAGGAAAAAAAATAAAAAAATATATATATATATATATATCCACTGTATCATTACCTGCCCCAAAACGATTTTTAATATTTATGAGGTTTTTAAACATAAAATATACTGAAATATTAAAATTTAAAAGTCGTCATTAACAATTTTTTATACAGATGCAAAAATTTATAAATGAAACAAGTAAAAGTTATAAAAAATTTAAAATACTAAAAGTCATTATTGATATTTTCTTAAAAAAATTATTGAAAAATTCTAAACTATTAAAAAATATCCTGGGTGATTTTTAAAAATTTTAAAATACTAAAAAATATAATTGATTATTACAAATCTTATTTTGGTATTTAAAGTTTTTGTCATATAAAAAACCCTCCCAAAAACATATATTAGTTAAGTCAAAGTATGAAAAAAAGACATCATTGGTTATTATAAAATTTGAAAAAAAAAGAAGCAACAAAGATAAATAAAATTATTTTCACTATAAGTATTTTATATTATCATTAATTATGTATTATTATTAAAAGTATTTCATTATTAGATATGAAAAAGCACATGTTTTTAACGTTGTTTTAGTATATTAATACAAGAATTAAGTCAAATGACTATGTCAAAATAACCTACAGGGGTAATGTATCAAATTTATAATGGAAAAATGTTTATTGAAATTTAAATTATTTTTTTGTCAAATACTATACTTTACGCTTCCTTTAATTTTATATTTGCTTTATTTTCGGTTCATTAACTATTATTTAACCATGTAGTTAGATTGATTTAATACATCAATTGTATATTATTGCAAAGGTTAAGCCGTTTTGTCTCTCCTGTGTTCAATTAATCTCATCTGGGATATCAATAATTTTCTGAAATTAGTTGAGGACAATGCTCGGAATTAATTTAAAATAATTACTGAATGTTAAAAGATTTGTATAGAGAAAATCATATAAAAAACACAATAAATGTGCTTAATAATGTTTTTACTTTTAGTTATTTAAACTTAATAATCTTAAAATTAATATTGACTAAACTGGTATTTTAATTATGCCAAATTTCGAAGCGTTTTGATTAATGTATTTATAATTGTGTTTTGATAAAGTATTAGCGTTGAAGATTTCAAATTGAAATGAGATTAATTAATTATTCAGTAACATGAAGTATTGTGCAAAGTGTTATTTATCAAGAATGAAAGTGACAGATAGAAGAATTATACTTGATAAAGAAAATTGTTTAAGGTAGGTATTTCTCTACTCTCTCTTTGTATGCGTGATGAATAGTTTGACCCAAAAAGCAGCGTTTTAGGTACTTGCGTTGCAAAGTGTGTTTGTTGACACGTTAAAACATACCCAATGCCGGTTGTCATAATGCTGTAACATGTTTTTTTAAAATATGCACGCCGCTTACTCTCCTTCCAGACGTTACATGCTTTCTTCTTTTCATATTTATTTATTCAATTTTCCAACTTTGTTTGCAACGTTCACCAACTTACCATTCACATCCAATGATTGTTATCTTGAATTTATCAATGTATTAAAATTTATCAAAAAATAAAAAAATATGTAAATTCTAATTTTTTTCACTTTTAAATTAATATTTTTTTGTATTTTTAAATTTTTAATAAATTTTATAAAATAACAAGTATGTTATCTATTTGTCATACAACTTATGAGACGTGCGGAGTCACATGCATCATGTGCGATCTAACAGAGTTTTGCGTTGTGACGTGACAGCGTTGCTAAACGCGTTGCATTCTGTTGGATGCAGCAATTTTCATTTTATTTATTTCCATTTTGAACAGAGTCACGAGTTCATTGCTAGCTATGCAGGTGTTTAAATAAAAGGATTGTGTGAGATCGAAGGAGAGACACTCTTGAAGAAGCAAGCAATATGGTTTTCTTCACATTGCGGTGACTCTCATGCTTCCTTTTGATTCCTAGGTATGTATTATTCTCTAAAGATGCATTGAAAATTATGATGTGAATGCATTATTTTATTTTTAATTTTTAGATTAATGTTTCCTATATTTCTACTGTTTGTTTACATTGCATTTCCAATCTTGTTCGTCTTTGGTTCCTCTCCCTTCTTGTTCTTTTTTGTTCTTCTCTGTAGCGTTTCTTAGTTCTTCTTCTACTACTGTGCTGTTATAATCTTACGGAACAACTTGCAGTAAAAACTCAAGTTTGTTGAACTAAAAAGTGATGTTGTCTACGATCTATATAACTAGAATTGTCAAAAGCGATGATGGAAAATGCTTTGTTTTCAATAGAAAGGAAGAGGAGAATAAAATGGGAAAGGAAAGAGGTAAAAACTTTTTATAATAATAATATCCAGGTGAATTGTTTGAGAGGTAGTAGGTGGAAAAAAAGTTAAAAAAATGAGTGACATTAAAAGTAATATTATCAAATATTGGGATGGTCAATACATATAATATTCAGAAAAAGTAAAATTCTTGATGGGGTAGTTGCCCACATAATTGCATAGGTCCAATCTTGTTTATCGTTATGTTTATTTCCTAAACAGTGAAACAAAAATATGATTTTAATGCATCATAAAATATTCAAATAATGAAATGTTTTTTCTTTCAAAATTATGGATCGATATAAAGAAAACGCTGACAAGATAATTCATCATAAATAAAATTCTATATTGCTTAATATATATATATATATATATATATATATATATATATATTGCTTAAAATATAATTGACATTGATTTACCCCATATAAAACTAAAATGTTTTTATTCTATTCAGTCAACCATAAAGATTGGACTGAATTTAATCAACTGGCTTCCTTCATTTTTTATTTATTTGTTTATCCACAAACAAATGCGAGGTTTCCTCCTGAAAGTGCTTGGTAAAACAATATAAAATGTTAGCTTTGTCAAAGCAGATCAGACAACATAACTAGGTTAGTTTTCTGCTTCGATAACATTTAAATTCTTTCACATGCATGCCGTCAAACGAACGATCTATCTAATAAAAAAGAAGTGTATTGTAAAACACCAAATAATATAAGCTTTGGGTTTTTCTCCGGTCAAAACTTTAAATTAAATTCCTTATATCTTGCCATCAAATTTTCAGACCCATAAACGATATTTTGATTTTTTTACCATTATTAAATCTCTATTAAAAATAAGGTACAAATTTTTTTAAAAAAATAAAGTCAACACATTGCCATTTAATTTAACGAGTTGATGGTAATTTTTTTTATAAATCTAAATTTTGTCCAATTGTAAAACAGCTCTAGATTTTAAACTAGCAACTAGTAACGGATAACGAGTCATATATGTCGAAAGGAAACATCGGGATAATATACCTTTTGTAGCCAAACACCTTGTGGAACTTTTCTTGGACGACCACTTTTCATATTGGAAAATTTTGATTGGTACGAATGCTCACGAAAAGCAAGAACAGGGCAACAATTTGAAAAGCGAAGGGCGCCGAGGTAGTGAAAAAAATGGATGGACGTGAGTTCAAGATGGCGTTAGCATTACCATACATCAACAAGCATCAGTTATCCAAGTAACTAAATGAATGAAACCTCGTCGAAAATTTCCAGAAAGACTCCCACTACACCTAGTCAAGAACTTATATACCATAATCCAAACATAAGTTGCACACGATGTGCAAAAAAAATAATGGAACGAGCAATCTGAAATTCTGAACAAAGTTCACAATCAACATCTAGGTATAAAAGTAGGAAGACATCAAAGGCACTCTGTTCTATATTCAGCGTGTATTAGTATTGCAGCTTAGAAGGAGATGAGATCATCTTTCGATGATTGCTGCTTCTTTGTATCGTGTCCCCCATCTGATGCATCCCCACTCTTTTTCCCAAAAATCATCTCATCAAGATCATCCATCATGTCATCATTGCTCCCTCCATGGACCCCAGTTCTTGATCCAGCTGGCTTTCTAATCAAAGCATCTTCTTTAGTGTGACGGGGTGACTCGTCTGGCTCAACAGCAACAGGTATCATAGCTGGTTCAGGCTGAAGTGGAGCAGCTGTAGGCTTCTTCAGCTCTTCATACTTGGTGAGAACCTTCTGAATCTCGTCGTTTACGTTCAAGGCCTCAAAAAGCAATGCCTCGCTTTCCCCTGCAGTTTCAACAATTCGCTGGACAGTAGCTTGTGACTGACGACACTGCTGTACAAGTGTTGTGGTCAAATCATCCTGCACATGGAAGAAATAATCACACTTACATTTCTGTGATTCACTGATGCCTGATACAATATGCTTCTTCCCTAGCAAGGAACATCACATGGCTAAAACTGACATTCCTCATTTTGGGAACTTAAAAAGGGAATATAGCAAAGAAAGGCTCAAACCGATTTTCCACAAGGTGGGTCAGATGTACAGACATAACACAAGGCCATAATGACATTTGCATTTAGCAATGCACCACACCAAACTCAAATTAACTGGTTTGTATGATAACTCAAATTTGCTTGGGTGTTGCCCAGTAAATGGAGAACAAATAGCATATTTCATTTCAATGCCTACCATCATATCCTAATAAACCTGTACATTCAACTCAGATAAAGAATACTCATCGTTGCATTATCATGGCCAATGGGGAAAAGAAATCTCATTACCATAAGTTAGAGAAAGGTGTGGTTATTATCGGCCAAAAAACTTACACATACCAAGCATCGGCGGCTCTTTTTTCTTTGAAGAGAATATACAGAACAGAAAATATCAATAAGTGCTTTCCCTCAGCTCTTTCAAAAGAAGACCAATTATCTAAAGTATATTTTTAGTTATACAACATTTTTCTAACATTTCCACATTTCAAAAATAAAATAATCTAAACCAAAAATAAAGAAAAGGCTCTTGATTTACAGATAATACTAAAAAAAATCGATGACTATATCTACATATCCTACTACACATTTTTAAGGCCAATAAAAAATAATTCAAAAGTGAAATATTTACACAGCAAATTCGTTTAGGCCAATCATCACATGGGTCTGAATAAAATATTGTAACTAATTAGATAAAATTTTCATAACTTAAGATAATACCCCAAGGGAGGAGCTCCAAAGATAAAATTTCCATCACCACAGTTTCTTCATCTTTCAACATGTCATGGAAGGGCCAGCCAGTGCGGGAACACTAACAGCCTTTTCACACTTAAAACCATTCCAATGTCATATAACTAGTGCATCTTGGGATATATTATGTTGTAAGGGTAATTAGTCATAACAATTAACAAGCAAAGGGTTTGCAACAAAAGGCTGATCAAGTTTCAACCACAAATATTTTCTCCATTCTTACCATGCATAAACATTAGAACAGGGATAACATCACAAAACTAATGCAGGTATTTTAAAAAATGACAAATTTTAACAATAGCACAAGTACAATCATACCTGTAGAGCATCTTGCTGGGGCGAAGATGATAACACAGTGGAAAGAAGCTCAATGCTATTTCGTGCAACATCAAATGCTTCCTTTGTCTGTTCAAGGGTGAAACTCAGCACAGGAACATCATGCTGCGGAACATTCACATCAGCCTCGGGAGCAGACACTGAACGAGGAGGAGTAAAAATAGGAGCCAAACTCTCATTATCACGACCAGGGAACCTAATTCCCCTCGATTTCAGACTCTGCACCCAAAAATTAACACTTCAAAATTTCATATTCATAATTAAAATGAGAGAGAGAGAGAGAGAGAGAGAGAGAGAACCTTGTAAGTTTCTTCATAAACAGGGAGATAACGCAACTCGCCGGTAGACTCACCCCAAGCTTCGATCATCATCAAGGCCTTGTTACGGTTGTTAACGACGGTCTGAGGGTCGTCGATGAGCCTAACCATCTCGTCGAGAACTCTCTCGGCGGCGACTTCAGAGAAGGCCTTTTCGCAGTTTTTGACGCAAGTTTCGAGGAGGACCAGAGCGAGGTACTGAACCCTAGGGCTTTTGACCATGATCCGCTTCTTGATTCCCCGGATGAGTTCGACGCTGTTGACTTTTTCTGTGTTGATGAGGTCACAGAGATCGAGATTCATGGCCCAATCGGGCTCGTCGAGGGCCTCAGAGGTAGCATCATCGACGAGCTTGTCAACCTGGTTAGGACCTTGGAAGAACTCTCTGACCTTAAAGCTCATGGAGGTCATGCCCGCACTCATCTTCCGACCCACTTCTGCACCTCCAATCTTCAACCTCTCTCCCAAAGCACTCACTTTCTCCATCAAATTATCACTCATCTTCACTCTCTGATTTCTTCACCGCAGGAACACGACGATTCGAATGTGATAAGGGTTTTCGTTCGTTGGTTGGTGGAAACAACGCGTAAGGACTCGGTAAAGTCTTCCCTCAGCGTGAGAGTCTCTGTCTCGTGTATCTCAGCTATGCCTTTGTTTCTTTTTCCCAACATTTTTATTTTTTATTACTTGTTTCATACGGTCGGTGCAACCATTCTTTTTTCAAATATTAAATTAATAAATGTTGCTTCTTTTTAAAATAAGATAATTAGGTTCTTCTCTTAATTAATTTTGGAGTTTAGGCTTATTTTAACGTCCAAGTTGGTTTGCTTAATTAGTGGTGTACCGTGTGCCTGAAGCTGCGATGCCACGCCAATTCATGCATTTTCGGTATAGAATTTACTTCCCATTCGTAGCTCTCAAATTTCGTTTTCACCTTTATGATGTCATCGGTTTCACCCTTCACCTATTAATTTAATTTATTAACACTGTACAATTTTTATATTCTAAATTCTATTTACTTATTAAATACATTTTTCATATCAAAAAATAAAAGATGCATTTGAAAGACGATTCCTAACATTCCACCTGGTCCATTTTCATATTTTTTTTAGAAGTTTTATATTTTTAATTAAGAGGCTTTTACAAAAGTTCATCCTCTGTAATTGATAGAATATGTCACTGCAAACTTCAATAAACCAATTTTGCAGTTTTTCTTTTTTATGCTTTCCATATACTCTACTGAATTTTGAAACTTAAAGGAGTGTACTGTTTCTTTTTCTTCTTTTTATAAAAAAAAATTGTAATTTTTATCGGAAGTAATCACTTTTTCCTTAACCTTTGCTTTCTTGGGTTCATTGCATTGGTTACGTACTAAAGCTCTTGATGTAGCATCTTTATAGTTCCGATTATATATGACAAACAAGTTTTATATATGAAAATAATAATGAATCATTACAATGTTTTTTTATGTAGACTCTACCAGGGATGGATGGAAATAATAAACAGAAAGATAATAAATGTTTGAACTGTGAAATCCAAAGGTAGTAAAGTTGTTAACAAGTTCACGCAATTGTTTCTTAGATAACTAGGTATTTGTTGTTGATAAAAAATCGACTCTTCACTGTACGTATAAAAACTATTTTATTGAGAGAGATATATCTATTTGAGTGATTTTTATGATATGAAGTTTAAAAGAAATTAATTTCTGATTTTTAACTAAGACACGAGAGATATCCTGAATGTATAAAGAAAATTATAGTACAGCCCATTTTGCAAGTTATCCTAATATTTCATAATTTTATAATGAATAAAAAACTTATCAATAATAAATGTTGAACGTGCATATAGATTTTATGCGAACACTGGTAGGAAATAAAATCAATAGATCAAAATTTGTTGAGCCGTCAATGCAGTGGTGGATGAAAAATATTTATCCGGTGATTTCTGGGCTGAAACCAAGTACTACCTCTCTCGGATGTAATTTGGATAACTCGTTGACTTTCTCCCCATTATGAAGCCTTTCTTTAAAATTTGAAATTGGGCTAGTCATTTTTTGATACCCACAAGCTACAAAATATTGATCCTATGGGTTGTACAATAAAACCTTCAGGTTATATTGGGCCATTTCGATGATTTATGGGCTGTACGACAAAAATAGGCCAGCCCATGTTAGTGGACAATAGTTGACCCCAAAAATAAACTTGTTACTATATAATGGGCCTACAAAGAATTGTAGCTCCTCGACAAGATTAAAAAAAGACCAACAAATATGATGCGAGTTACTTTAATCTTTATTCTTTTTAAACCTTCTTTCGGTTCTTAATTTTGTAAAAACAAAAACTTGAATCATTATTATCAATTAAATTTGAGATAAGAAGTTTTCTTTTTTTATTTAAAAATTAAGAATTAAACAAAGACAAGGTATTGTTAACCAATAACCTTAAAACGTTGGTTAAGGAATTGAAAATTACATTAGACATTAGAAACCAAACCAAGTAATTGATCCAAACAATACTAAAACCTGACATACCGACTTAATCACCGCACCAGGTAACATGTTGATATAAATGCCAATAAAATTCTTTTTTCTATTTTCTATTATTCTTTTAGATTTCTTAATACAATGTCGATTTATATATAATAGAAATTTAATTTTATTATAAACAAACTATTTTATATTAAATTATATCTCTTTAAATATTGATTTATTGTATTATTATTAAATTTTTATCTTATAAAACATCTAGTTATAAGAGGTTTTAAAGATGGTACGAGGTAAAGGTATAAGTGGAAATGAGTAAATAATGATCAGGTCCAACCAAAATTGAGTGACCTTGTGTTGTATCAATGCTCTTAGTTCCTAAGAAGGATGAGACTTGGAGGATGTGTGTAGATTGTAGGACAATAAAAAATATCACAATTAAGTATATACACTTAATCCCTAGATTAGATGACCTTTTAGATGAATTGCAAGGGTCTTGTATATTCTCTAAGATTGACTTAAAGAGTGGATATCACCAAATTAGGAAAAAGTAAGGAGATGAATGGAAAATGACCTTCATGACTAAGTTTGTTCTCTATGAATGGCTAGTGATGCCATTTGGACTCACAAATGCCCCTAGCACTTTCATGAGGCTAATGCATCATGTTCTAAGAGAGTGCATAGGCCACTTTGTGGTGGTTTATTTTAATGATATCTTAGTGTATAATAAGAATCTTGAAGATCATATTGTTCATCTAAAAATGGTTTTAGAGGCTTTAAGAACACCCACTTATTTGCTAACCTAGAGAAGTGTTCTTTTTGCTTAGATAAGGTAGTGTTCTTAGGCTTTGTGGTGAGCTCTAAGGGAGTTCACGTAGACGAGGAGAAGGTGAAGACTATCATGATTAGCCAACACCTAAGACTATGGGAGAAACTAAGTAGTGCAATCCTCAATTATTCCACATATGACAAAGAGCCCTATGCTATTGTTAGGGCATTTCAAACTTGGTTACATTACCTCCTACCTAAGGAGTTTATAATCCATAGTGATCATGAATCTTTAAAATATTTGAGGGGTCAAGGAAAATTAAATGAGACACATGCTAAGTGGGTAGAGTTCCTAGGGCAATTCTCCTATGTCATCAAACACAAGCAAGAAAAAATAAATAAGGTGATGGATGCTCTCTCTGTGAGACACTCTTTACTTTCCACCTTAGGATGTAAAGCGCTAAAGTTTAACAAAATAAGTGAATTGTATGCTTTAGATCATACATTTGCCCCACTTTATGCCATGTGCAAGGAAATGGTCTCTGAACCAAGTGATTGGGTTTGGGTCCATCTAAGAAAATCTAAGCTACAACCTAGGAGAGATAGACCATTCTAAGTGGTAGAAAGGATAATAATAATGCATACAAGTTATACCTTTGGGGTGAGTTTAATGTGAGTACCGTTTTTAATATTATTGACTTGATCCCCTTTGATGTAGGTGATAATGATGATGATGTAGAGGAGGCTAAGGACATTGCAAATTCGTGGCAAAATTCTCTCCAAGTAGGAAGGGATGATGTGATCCATAGAAAGCATCTAGCAGAAGGCAATGATTACGGTTAGCACCTAGAGAGTCCAACAAGCCTTAGCTAGGGTGTACGACCTAGAGGCTCACACTATTGAGACTATAAGATCAAATATATTTTCTTACTTGTATTTGTACAGATGTAGATAGGACTAGTAGTTAGGCATTTTGGGCCTTGTGTTTGGGTCATAGGCCTTGTATTTAGACTTGTATTGGGCCACATTTCTAGGTATATATTCAGCCCGATCCCCATTCCCTTAGATAGAGTATATTGGGCCTAAGCTTGCGCTAGAAGCTTTAGCCCGTAACTTGCCTATATATAGGTGTAAGCTCTTTGTATTTTGCACACATATGATTCCTTTTATTCATTTTGGCATTTTACTTCTCTTTGTGAGTTGAGTTTTCTTTGATTTTTCCTCTAGAAAATTCAAAGACATTCTCTTATCATGGACTCTTCCATGTGGTGAGAGATCTCTTAGCTTATCTTCATCCTTGAAGTGGCGCTATTACATTGTTTCTCTTTTTCTCTTTTTTTACTTTTATTTTTCTTCTTTTTTTATGTTGGAATCTATAATCATCAATGACAATATCAAGCAATCCATAGCTACTTACCTCATTAGAGATCCAATCCTTTGGTCATTCTTGAAGTTTCCTTCAAGAATCACATCATTGGTGAATCAAAAATGTTGAACTGTACCAAATTGTCACCAAACTCCATAGAAAGGGTCCCTGCATGCACATCTATCTTTGTTCGCGCCGTCCTCAAGAATGGTCTCCCAAGGATCAATGTAGCATGGCTGGGCAGGTCATTCTCCATCTCTAGAATATAAAAATCAGCAGGGAAAATGAGGTCCTCAACTTTGACAAGAACATCTTCTACGACACCAAGTGGCTGCACAGTGCTCTTGTTTGCTAGCCGGACTACAATTCCTGTAGGAATCAAATCTCCAATCGGCAAGGATTTAAAAACAGATGCAGGCATAACATCAATTGAAGCACCTAAATCCAGCATAGCATTTGTAAAAACTTCCTCTCCAATAGTGCAAGGGATGGTGAAAGTTCCTGGATCCTTGCACTTTTGTGGCAACTCAGGGAGCAAGTTTTGTGGAATAATTGCAGACACATTTTTATTCTGGAGGAGTGCAGAGCCATTTCTTCCCATGCTCACTCTCTCATTGCCCTTTAGCTTCCTCCTGTTGGTGCACAATTCCTTTAGGAACTTTGCATATTTTGGAACTTGTCGGATGGCGTCAAGGAGGGGAATATTTACTTCTATTCTGCTGAACATGTCCAGCAACTCATTGTCCGACTCTGGTTTTTTTCTTGCTGCTGCTGGTCTGCTCGGGAAAGGCAACGAAACACGTTTTTCAGTGGCACTACTCTCATTTTCAGAATCTGGTGCTGCAGCTACAACTGCTGGTAACTCTTTTCCACTTTGCAGGGTAATAGCACTCACATTGCCCTTTGGATTCATGACTGTTTGAGAAGGCAAATTACTGGAGCCTTGAGACTGAATCTAACTCACTTGAGTGGCTAGCTGTCCAACCTGAATCTTCAAATCCTGGACGGTTGCTTGCATGTTCTGTTGAAACTGCAGGTTGTTTGCAGCCATCTGTTGCATCATCTCTTGGAATGATGGCTCGCTCCTTT